GCAAAAAACGGATGGAAAGGTTGGAAAAATCATGGCAAATCTGCGAAATGGTGGGTTGTTTCCACTGGTAAAACAATGGTAAGATAGTTATTTTACAGCATCGAACTAGCTGGAAACAGTTTTGATCACTGGAAATTCTGGGTAAAACATCGTCGAAATCTGGAAACACCTTTCCATCTTTTGTTGGGGTTGCTATACCTGACATTCAATGATCCAAAAGGATTAATGGACGAAACTATTCCTTATGATACTATAGTCAGATAGTAGTAAACCTTGTTCGCATCATGCTGATACAGGAAGGCCAGTTCTGCTTGATGGTTGATATCACCCACAAAGTTTACCAGTTTACATCCATATGTTCATCCTAGACTTCTAATTATGGCGTAGTCATATACCAACTCTAGAATTGTGGAAACTTATAAGGACTATCATTATCATCGCAAACTTAGTTGATGAATTATGGCTTACTTATTTGTTTATATGAATCTATATGGATCATAGGAATAAACCATGAATTATGCCTTAACAAACCAATAATTATGTAAGTTAGCTTCAATAACCATCAATTATGCCTTACGTCCCGGTTATTGATGGTTTACCCTCTGGTAAACATACAAAAAACTATGGATAATCACCATTTTTAATTGGAAAACTCACTATAAATTGCCATTTTCAATAGCTATGTTAGTTTACCAGAGGGTACTTCTCAGGACTCGGGATCGTCCCGGCCTCTCATCCCGCGCCAGGCGCGCCAACGTACGCTGCAGCTCTACAGGCAGCTCGGCCTCCGAGGCCTCTTGGGCCTGGACGTGGATGGTTTTTTTGACCATCAAACATGGGGGTGTTGGTGAATGTTGGTTACCCTCTGGTAAACTAACAAAAAACAATGGAACATCACTATTTTTAATGGGTAAATCCACTATAAATGGGCAATTTTCAATAGCAAACTGTTAGTTTACCAGAGGGTAATGTTGGTTAAAGGATTCAACCTGAAATGGGGATTATTGATGGATATTGCGAACAATATCCAAAGTTCGATGGGTTGGTTCAAGGGAAATCATGCAGGAAATCATGGTGTTTTCGTGGGAACAGGCGTTCTTTTTCCATTAATCCAGGGTGTTGTTTGAGGGGCATCTAATCTTTGGGGGAAGGATAAACTGGTAGACCTAAAGGCTGTCAGGTTTCTAAAATGATTTCAAACGCATTGAACGCAGTTTTGAAGGTCTGAACCTGCTGTATAAGAACCCTTCTTGTCTCATTTTTGCTGAGAAAACTTCCACTGGGTAAACAAACCTGGAAGAGTGGTCTGGTGCTTGACCCCGCTGACCTATGACAATAAGCCATCTTTCCACAGTCTTCCACCAATATTACCATCTGGTTATTTAACATAGCCATGGAAAATCCCTCATAAATGGAGGTTTTGATTGGAAAATAATCTATAAATGGGCCATGGTAAATACCCCACAATTGAGTTCATTCCATGTCTTCGTGTCAATTCTCCAAGCCACAACATGCCACAGCAACAAGAAATGGACCATTCCATCTGAAACCGCAAAAAAAACTGGGTTTGGGCCTGGAACAATGATGAACAAAGGGTTTCCTGTCATCTGAACAGAGTTTGGGCTCATGTTGTTGTTGCTACATGTTGCTACATGCTGCTACATGTTGCTACCCTTCCAACCTGTACGCCCCGCGCGCAGCACATGCTGGAGGTGCTTGTGCACTTCAACTTGTGCCTGGTGACAGCATGGTGACTTCAAGTGATCAGATTCGAATGTCGTTGTGCAACGATGGGACCTTCAGGCATACGCACAAGCGCGCACACACCAACTGTATCTGTACACATGCAACTAACCGAACATCCACGTGCAGAAAAACATGTAGATCCACCTATATATCTACTCAACATCTCAAAACCATCCACTTGAATTTAGTTCAAACAAATCCATCTCCTGAACTTTCTTATTACCACAACGTGTACATGCGTGTACTAGGGGCAACTGGGACTTGATTGGGATGTTCACTTCCATGTATAACCACCTAAACGTAGTAAATCGTAGTACCATGATAAAGCTCAGCCACGAACCATCACCTACCGTAACCTACCATGACTTACCATTTCAATTTACCAAATATGTTCTCACATCATCTGTAATATCTACACACATGAAAAACTAAGTATCATTAACTAATAGTGACCATCATCATCCCATGGTGGGCCAAAAACCCTAGTGCTTCACAGTCGCAAGGGCCAGTGACTCCTCTGGCAATCCGCTGAACCTTGGTGCGGCCAGCCCCCATGGGAATTCTCCAAGCCATCCAGCTGACCGGAGGCATCCGGAGAGTCAGTGGCCACAATTTTTGTGGGATGTGTGTACATATATCTATATATCTATATATATATCTATATATCTATATATATATCTATATATCTATATATATATATATATCTATATAAATATATATATATGTGTGTGTGTGTGTATGTGTGCGTGTGTGCTATACATACATTTATACATATAATCACATATATATATAATTATATATAATATGTATAATTATGCTCTTCATGACTTTTCGATCTGTCCCAAAATTGCCGTTGCTAGGAATGTTCGACACATGCAGGAGCTTGTAGTGAAATCTAGGGAAAATGAAGCATCAAAGCGTCGTAAACGTGGGACGTATTTAATAGGACCTTCAACTTGACGGTGGGATATCTTGTGCGGCTCCCAAGCACCCCCCCCAAAAAAAAAGAGGGCACCCCGTGGGGGAGTGAATTTTCATTAAAAATGATGATAAAACACTGTAAATACCGATGTTTTATGCATTTGGAGGGTCTAAAACCCTAGTAAAACGCACTTTTTTCATCATGATCTTGACATGAGATATACAAAAACATTGACAGGCACCAAAAAAACAAAAAAAACAAACCACTAGATGCACCAAACATTGACAGGCACCAAAAAAAACAACAAAAAACAAAAAATCCAGCAACTACTCAGAAGTGGACCCATAGTTCCTGGATTTTTTTTTTTGGTGCCTGTGCAGGTTTGGTGCATCTAGTGGTTTGTTTTTTTTTGTGCTTGTGCAGGTTTGGTGCATCTAGTGGTTTGTTTGTTTTTTTTGGTGCCTGTGCATGTTTTGGTGATTCTAGATTGTGTATGTTTGGATCTTGGCCATATTTTAAACTGATGTTTCAAAGAAGCAAATATACCGTTATCTTTGAATAGCTATGCCACCACACAGGTTGCCTGACCTTAATAGTCAACAGCATGACACACGTCTTTGTCTCTTTGGCTTTCTCTCTCTCTCTCTAACTATTGAAATGAGACTGCTGACAAGACTCTGCAAGATAACAATGATAAACAAGATATGTACCTACTTCTTGAGTTGTAACATTCCCACCATCCTTCTTATCCAGAGTGTTAGATGTGCTTGTGTATATCCACCTATATGATTATATAATGTATGCCTTTCCCACCATACTTCTTATGTAGCGCAAATGCTTCTATATACAATATATGTTAAGATGATATCAATCTAACAAGTTCATGAAGAAGCAGCTATATCATATCAATTGCTTCTAGCAATAGAATTTCTCCATCACCTCCATCACACTAGTCACCTATTGCTACCGTATATTCTGTTCCAAGATGTGCAGCTACCCATTCTTATGGCATGTTGTGCAGCAGATGTTTTCTCTTATGTGCTGATTGTTTGTAGTTCTTTGCAAGCCTCACAGGAATTTTTGAATCCTGCCACAAGAGTCTGTAAATGCCAGTGATTTATGACAGCATATGGGAGCCTTTGGAGGTGAACTCTTTAATTGGTCTAAAATAACGGTTTTAAGCCCACTTTGGTCACAAAACACTGTAAATACCAGTATTTTTTGACCATTTCTAGAGCAAACATCACTCCCCCACGAGGGGCCGTTCTGAAAAAAAAAGAGCTCCGAACGAAGAAGGCCCAAGCCATGACCCCTGCAAATGTCATTAGAAGTCATCAGAGTTTGAGTTTGATATGCCTATATGGCCACTAATCAGGATTTTTAACTAAAAGAGCAGCACAAAAGCATCACCACTCACCACAGTCCTTGACCTTTGGCCCCAGGCCCAACAAAAATCCGAATTCCAATGTTTTCATTCTAGTATATTCTAGTAATATATTCTCTCCGGTTCCCTCTGGTATTCAAACATGGGTGGGAAATCCCTTATAAACACCTATAAATGTGCATTTAAATTGAAAAATCATCTTTAATACCTATAAATGGTGCCATGTCATATTAATCAAACTGTGTATATTGAAGTCTCTGCAGTAAATCTAACCAGAATCCAACCTGCTAACAAAATCAGCTAAAGTTAAAGTATGCTGTAACCCCCATTCCCATGCATTTTTGATTCAGCTTGTCTGGAATTAGGTTCTCCCACATGTTTCATCATGTTTCCCTGATCTTCCGTCGCTAATCCCCAGATCCACTAGATTCCAGTAGCAATAGTTCACCTGTCCGCATCGCCCACACTTCCGCAAGCCGGCTGCGGGGCAGCCGCTGGCGGCACACTTCATGGCATCATGGGCCAGCCACGAAAAAGGCTTCACGAGGTGCTTAAGGGGGGAAAACTCAAAAGCAAACATGTCTACCTTGAATTTTGGGGCTTCCTATGGATTTTGCTCTTATTGTAAATTCTGGGCGGAGAACTTGATCGAAGTAATTCCTGGTAATGACTTAAGTGGATGATGTGTTTGTTGAACATTTCTGGGGGGTGGACAAACACACGGAAAGCGTATGGGATGATTATCTACGTTGAGGCAGCTGTTGATCAGCTGGTCATTGCCAAATGAGGTGCCGTTGATAAGTACTGGTGACTTGAGCTTGAGGCATCCTTAGATATAGCATGATATAGATATAAATTATTTAAAAAAATATAGCTATATATATATATAGCTATATAAACAAATGTAAACAAATACCTCCCATTGCCAATCCTTCTGTGTTCAGCTTGGTGGCCAGGCAGGATGTAACCCCTGCCAGGCCCCAGCTGAATGTATAGATTCATATGCAACGCCGCTGATTGGGAACTATATCCTGGACAAAATCCAGATATCCAAAGTCCCACTCATCTTCATGCTACTCGTACTCGTGTGGGTGATCATTTACAACCTCCAAAGCCACACATCCTGTCAAATCTTCAGATTTGTTGCGAAAGGCACATATTCCACCATCATCCTTGACGCTTGTAAGTGGTTCCCTGATGGATGGTACCCGTACCCCCTTACAACATCTTATATACAACATTCGTGGCAGCATGGCATATTCACATATGATCATACATTCCCGTCTGGTAATCAACTTTGGCAATGGGAAATCATATTTTTTTCCGCGGTAAATACGTCTATCAATGGTTTCAATGGATGAGTTTCCATTAGAAATGTGAGAATCATCCATTGAAAAATAGAACATCATCAATGATAAATGTTGGGTACCAGTCGCCACTGAAGCATTTTCCCCATCCCCAACCCATGCCCATATGCACCCATCACAACGTCCTCACCACTGCCAGTAATGGAACAGAGAGGAGCATGCCTGGCACGCCCCATACCTGGAGGATCCGCGGTGTTTCAACGCATCGCAACTTGTTCTTCCCTTCGGTAATCACAGATGGCTATAGCTGGGAAAGTTTCTATACCCTCTGGTTGTTTAACATAGCCATGGAAAATGGCCCATTTATAGATGGTTTACCTGGGTTTACCTATTAAAAATGGTGATTTTCCATGGCTATGTTAAATAACCAAATGGTAAATGCAGGTGTCAATGCTGCTTTTGATGGGAAGTGAGACACCATGAACGGGGAAAATTCCGTTGCCATGTTTGATTGCCGGAGGGTAGTGGTGGCATCGGCTCATCATGCCCGACCGCGCCTGGTAGAAGAACCAAATACCCAGGATGACAATGACCTCGGCAAGGGGAACATGGGACTTGTTTGAAGGACTGTCGTGTTTAGGACTAGAGGAAAAAAAACGCCGTATGACATAGTTATTTGGGAGTATGTTATTTAGGAGTATGTTTGTTCGTTTGGGGGGCACCTCTTCTTATGTAATCCTTTCATACTTAGCTCCAAGTAACTTCTGAGGTGGTATCTGATGTATGGTTTTGGGGACCAAATACCTTCTGAGCAAGCATTTGGATCCCTGGGATGCAAATAAAATAGTGCATGTATATACCTGGTACCTCACTTGTATGATTTTGCCAACAGCCCACTTTGAGGACTGATTCATTGCCTTTTTTGCCAACCGATGGAGGTATCCTACCTCAAAGAACCAGGTGGTTCATGACAACCTGGAAAGCTGATTTGATCCAACTCTACTTGAGGGAATTCACCAGTGCTGTAGTTGTTGCGCGTACTTTCACTGGCCAGGACAAATTCGCCCAAATGTACACAAATGGATCTGGGAAAATTATAATCTTTCACTAACCTGAATTAAGGCCATTTGGGGATGATTTCCCTTATTAACCATGATTCCAGTGAGGTCGCAGTGAGGTCGTTATAATTTACCCAGAATGGATGATAGTTCCTTGCCACTTTTTTGCAGAAACACCCGCAAAAGCCGTGGTGTTTCGGCAATTTAAGGGGATCTGAATGATCTAATGTCAATGGGAATTCCAGGATCCTAAAATGGAGGTAAAGTACCATTTTTCAGGCCATATTTTGTGGGGATATTCCCTTACATAGGCCTTATATAGGCCTTATATATGGTTGGTACCTCCAATTTAGGATCCTGGAATGGCCATTGATAATGTGGCAAACCCTGGCAGCCGGTTTTGCCATCCCAAAATCATCACCATTTTTATGGCTGCTATGTAAAAACGATTCCCAGATGGTAGGTTTATGACATTGGATTTCCCACATTCTTCCAACTATCCATCTTTCATCTTGTTCGTTACTATTTTACACCAAGTATTAACCATCATTATATAACCATCATAAACCAAGATTCTTGGATGTCCCCCATTACTAACCATCATTGTTCCATTCACCACCATAGCATAACCATTATAAACCGCATTATTAACCATATGTTTATGCCATTCATCATGGTAAATCTTACATGCCATAAATCATATCATATCATAACCCTTATGAACCATCACAGGCTATTATCATGAAACATAAACATAAGAATTCTAGCTGGTGAATGCACATTTACCTCCGGTAAATTCACAGTTCGACCCTGCCAGGGGCTTGGAAGATAAGTTTCCACTACCAGTAAACTAACAGTTTGCTATAGAAAATGGCAATCTTTCAAGGATTTGAAAGGTAAATCAACGATTTCTATGGGCCATTATCGAAAATGGCCCAGTGATTGATGATTCACAATGATTCACCTATCAAAAATGGTGATTTTCCTTGATTTTCCATATTAAAAATGTTGAAAGATGTGCCCCAGAGGCTACCCATGGGGCGTTTTTAAAGGCTCCCAGGCCCCGCCATGGCCCCGCCATGCCCTCGTGGTCGGTTTTTGTCAGGTCACCGAGTTCATCTCCACGGAGATGCCGAAGACCACCGGTTCCACCCTTTTCGCCCAACAGTTGACCCATGAGGAATTGAGCGGAATTGCCGTAAATGAGAGGGATATTATATAACATATATATATATAATATATAATATGAAATATATTATATATATAATGTATGTATATGTTATATGATATATATATATAGTCCAGTTTGCGCTGCAGCACAAAAAAAGCTCCAGGAGTAGCTGCAATAAGTATCATTATATATCATTATATATAATTATACAATATTATACATATATATTGGTATGATTATTAGTATATGGTTTTTTATTTACTGACATGTATTTGTCTGCGGCCTCCATGCGGACATGCATTTATGTAATACTATTTTGTTCATTTATTTATACATGTATATGTTACTATATTAAAAATGAGACAATGGATCATAACATTATAACCCAGTTCATAGCCACTCACTAACTTTAGGGCTCATGTGGCCGGATGTCCACTTAACCGCTTAGCCCTGCTGAGAAACACAGCTCCGTATCTGCTCCCTGATACAGGAAGGCGCCGAAATCCTTAGCTAAGTTGGTTGATATGTAGGTCAACTAGGGGTTAGATATATTCTAGAATTATAGTTACATGGGTCTTTAAACCAACTTGACATCTTCTAACTGGGAAGGCCTTCTTGTGTTCCTTGAGCATCTGCCGAGCAGCAAGAAATCGATCAAGAAATGAACGAACATCTGCATGATGAAAGCAACAGCCACCTTCAGTTGACAGGATTGAGTTCCAGGACCCCTGCAAAATGCCCATTCACCAAGGCTTACTGAAATAATTAAAAATTAATTATTACGGGAGATTTACCAAACCTCCTGAAAAGTGCACTTCAGGACTTTGAATGCCACTTGTTTGATGCTTCTTTTTCCCTCCGCCAAATGGAGGTTTCCTAAAATAGGGAGACCGGGAGATCCCAAATCATCCAAGTCATGGATGACCATCTTAGTATTGAAACGCATGGTGACTTGGGGATCCCCCATGGCAGCCGCCTGCATCGGTGCTTTCCTGACGTCGATGATGCTCAACATGCAGGGCATGATGGAGGCCACCAACGAGCCAATACCTCCAAGGCAGCAGTGGCACCCAAAACGTGCGTCCTGGGTCTGCACATGGAGAAAAAACCACCATATATACCCCAAGAAAATCCAAGAAATGTGAAGAAAAATTGTGAGACACCAGTGGGTTTGGAGGTATCCAGTTTTCAGACAAGCTGAGTAAGTGGGTAATAACCCATTTGCAACCAGTTGCTGGGGTATATAATTGGGATTAACTGGGTTTTACCCACTTACGAATTGGGATGCATATCCAAAGATAGAGGGCCAGTCCTTCTCCGGGCCTCGCAACAGTATGCTGTCGGATGATCTTTGACTCGGGCTGGTCTGTCAAACAACTCCAAGGGTCTTGTTTTGTAGGTGATTCACTTGCATATGCCCCAAAAATATCCAAAAATTGGATGAACAACAGCTGTTTCACATGGCTATGAGCCAAAACTCTGGTACCCTAGGTAGCCTAAAATAGATGAATGAATCTTTATTCCCCCATATGGTAATTTCAGCCCGACCCATCCCCACATCAGCCCGACCTGGCAAAAAGTTACAGAGGAAGGACAGGAGGCCGAAGGCAGCAGGTAGGTCCAAGCCCATGGTGAAGAGTAGCAAACCTCGCGAACCGCTGCGAAATGCTGCGAACCCCCTTCTCCCCACTCCCTGGAGAAAAAATGGGTGGGAAAAGGTCCAATTCGGTTGAAGTTAGTAAATCTCTGTCAAAACAGACCTGGCCATTGCAAAACAACTATCTTAGATTATCTTGTTGTTCGTTGCCTTACTTTGACCAACAATGTTCAGGGGAAGTGACCGTCCCATGTCTTTGTTTTGCACGGGAATAACGAGTATTACCGAGACCTGGGTCCGTCGATTCCAAGAGCGATAGCAGGGAAAAAACTATATGAAACCACTAGAGGAACATCATTTGGCTCTACCACATGCCGGGTGGTTTCTACAAACATCACCTGTGTGCACAAAAATTATCAAGTTCTCTGCTGAATCAATGCAATACCACACAGTATCCTCTTCAAATCGAAGCTGGCATGCTCACCCCAACATGACGCCAAATGACCATCAATCTCTTCGACATCTTCTCCTAAAGCCGCTCCATCTAGGTAAATTATCATCAATCACACACGTTTTGGGTAGCCATGCTTCGGTCCGCCGGGCCATCCAGTATAATGTTTGTTGGCTGCTGTTACCCCATCATCCCCAGTTCGATGATCTGTCCAGTATTGCCCCCATGGATGTTTTCCGCAATGTGTCGATGCCCATGGCGCGGCCCGCTTCGGGGATTTCCATGGCAAGGCTCCCATGGTCAAACCGGTGAAGGCGGAGATGCCGAACTTCACCTTGAGATATCGACTGGTGGAGTGGAAGGCCTACGCGACGCGGCCCGACGCTGCGACCGGCCCAAGGTGATGGTGTGGTGTGGGAAGGTGATGGAACAACTAGGTGAAGGGATGGGTTTAATAAAGGTGAAAAGAAAGACAAACTGTATGAGTTTCTGATATGTTATGTAATTTCATGTAATTTGATGATATATCTCCAGTTCCCAATCCTTGGCTAAGTTGATGGAACAACATGAAATAACTAGGTGAACAAATAATCATACGGTGGATATGTATACCCCTTCGAATTTCAGGGGTGACGTTGTGACCCTAGCTCTCTAGCTTACAAAAATTATTCACAGGCTCAGGGCTATAGAATGAGTTTGCTGAGCTCAACTTTTTAGGACAATTGCCTTACTTACAAAAGGCCAGTTCATTTCAACAACCTTGATATACGATGTGTTTTTCCCTTGTTACAAAAAGCCCCTTCGTGTTCAACAACTGCAAACACGAGGACATGTGACATACCCTTTGCTACAAAATGCCCAGGTCATTTTCAAGCATTGCACATGCAAAGGAATACGTTCATATTCTGTCTGTCCCTACAAAATACCCGGTTGTTTTTGAAAACCCCTTTATCGAGGCACACACTCTCATTACAAAATGCCTCTGTTGCTTTTCAAAGCTAAGATTTGGAGCGTATTCTGCTACAAAATGCCCGTTTGATTTTGATAAGCCAGTATTGAAGCTCATCATGTCTTCTTACAAAATGCCACTGCGATTTTTATGGTGGCCTAACATGATTAAAATGATACCTTTATAAAATGAGATTCACAAGCTTAAGCTACAAAATCTTGGACCTGGATTTTGTGTCACCGTTAGCCTGACTAGAATGGAGGCCTCTGTGAGGGGCACAAGGCCACAGTCTTTGTAGCTTGAACCCGAAGGGGGATGGATATGTGATATATATCTATGCTTAGAAAGCAACTTAATCCAACTTATATCTGAGGGGCCATTGTACGATGGGGTGTTCATTGTTTTGGGTGATGAGCCCGGATGGGATTATATCATATCTTGACCAGCACAAGCACAAGCGTTGGATTTTTCATAAACCCGCAGGGGAAATATCAGTTTGAGAGGGGGGTGGTCGACAACTTGTTTTTCTCCTATATCTCTATAGATCTCTCTATGGAATTATATGAATTATATGTATATATGTGTGTGTGTGTGTACCATCTGAACAGATGTAAAACTTCTGATTGGTTTTCACTAATTTGCAGGGGGCCACGGCTCCATTCATCAGTCCGTGGCCAACGAAGCTACTGATGTTTGGAGAGGATATGCAGTCTGATCAACTGCACGTACCTGCTTTTTTCGGACATAGCAAGGGGCTAAGCTTAGAACCCCAACCACAATATTATACAATTTGCTGCACTGTTGTCGCAATCTGGAATCAATTTTGAAATTTACATGCATCAGAACCTTCCTCAGATTTTCGCCGAAACCATATCGCCGACAGTATTATGTTTTTTGACTTATTTTCGCCGAGATCCTGTCGCCGACGAACTATGGGTTATTTTGGGAAACAATCGCCGAAACATTATTTTGGATTTCCACATGCTGGTCAAAACTCTATGGAATCTGGTTATGACTACGTTTGACAATTTCGGATGCCCTACATCGTTTGCGAGAAGTACCTCATGTGGCTCTTTTATTCATCTAATAATCTAGGCTGGTTTGCATGTTTCAGGATTCAGTTCCTGCCGGATCATATAATGATCCATTCTTGTCTAGTGTGATTTCCATGGTGGCTCCGACATGGTGCCATGGAGCCATTGGAGGCAACCCTCTTCAGGGTGAGTGTTGACAGACTTGAATTCTGAATTTACACTTTTCAACTCAGTAATTCATTTAAGTAAAGTGCAACAGCCAGCCTTTCGGTTATTCGCCTTTTGTGATGTCCCGCCGCTCCTATTGTCCCAGGGACCCCAGTGCTGCGTTCTTTCAAGGGAAGCCATTCCGAATGTTCTGAAACCTCCGTTTTTTGCAGCTGCTTTGCAACACCGTTGCATCAAATCATGACAGAGAAATCAGGCAGGCACACGACTTTCAGGTGTGGTGATCCTTTCTTTTGATGGTTGTCTGGTGAGGTGAAACATATTGTGCACCTAATTCGTTGGAACTTGAAAGCTGTTTTATGCCATTGCGGCACGACTTGACCACGGTCCCGGTGCAGGGAATAATTGCACGATTTTGTAGGTAGTTAGGGACTGAATCCTGTATGTGAAACTTTTTACAATTGTCCACTTTTGTTTTGACCTACTGAAGCGATGCATCCGTGGAACACTCCAACATCATGGCCTGCTCCACCACAGCCTTCGAACCCATCTTCGACGTGGCCGCAATCGACACCGAGTGCACATTTATTTGGACATCCCTCGGCTTTGCATCCTACATGGTCATCCTCCGCTTCGCTCATGCCGTCTACATCCGCCCCAACATCGTTGCCGTTCACCTCATTGACTTCGGCTCCTCATGCAGTACCAGGTCCACAACTTGTACCCACCATGCCTTCACCTTTGGCTCCTGAACCAACTATGGTACACACCGCTCCGTCGACTTTTCCATCTCCTATGGCACCTACCGCTCCACCCGCGTGGCCTTCCACTTCGGCTCCATCCCCTACATCGACTACACCACCTACATCGACTATGACACCGACTCCTTTGCCCAGTTCTCCATACCCACCTCACCACATTCAACCTCCATTACAGATGGACGCATCGACGATCCCTCCAAATGAGCCTTCACCACGGCCCCCAGCAGTCAAAGCAGCTCCCAGGCATCGCTCTGACAAAAAACCGGATCGACCGCGCAGACCAGCTCCGAAAACCCCTCCTCACGCTACACCATCGACACCTCAGACAGCACCGACTTCATCCGTTCCACCTGAACTTGCATCCCTGGGTTCCACCGCACAACAACTGGCCGAATCTGTTCGACTTATCCAAGCTCAGCAACTATTACTCATGGATTCTCAACGGGCACAAGAACAACGTCAACTCCTTCTTCAACAAGATGAACATCCACCGAATCCTACACCACAGATACCGCCACCTACACCTACACCACCACTGATCGCCACGCCTCCACCTGCACCAAAGGCCAGACCCACCGAACCGGACGTTCAGGACCATCGCATTGTCCCAGCTCCAACCATCGCTCCTCCTCACCAACCACACGGTCCACCACCACCAACACGCCGACCACGATCCCGAACTCCAAGATCACGTTCCCATCGACCTTCTATACATTCCTATCGCCTTCGCCATTCTCCTCCACGTACAGAGCGACCTCGTTCTCCTCTCCCTCGTCATCGATCATCTACGAAAACCGACAAGAGCCGCAGAACACCATCTCCATACAGACGACGCTCACCACCACGACGCCGCTCTCCTGTGGTCCCTCGACGTCACCGCTCCCATCCACGCCCACGCTCCGCGACACCACGTCACCGATCCCGAGGCCGTGAAGTCATACTTCGACCTGCTGCAAACCCATCCAATCCGAACTACATTCCTACTCCTGATGCTGATGACACCTGGGGTACATGGAACGAAAGCCACTACAACGACGCCTACGACCACCACACTGCTCGACCCAATTCTCCTACTGATCCACCACCATCGGAACCACAAACCAACCCACCAACCCACACTTCAGCACCACTCGGCGCGGTGTCCTTCCGAGTTCCGGACGGCGACAGTGAAAATTCTGAGGTTGCTGATACCATTTCGCTCACCAAGTTTGACACGAATGACATCGACCTCGATGAAATGGTGGCGGCGGCCAATGACCCCCATAGAGTTCGATGCCTGACCGAGCTTGGCCCCGATCATGTTGTTCCTCTACGCCAATCATTGACCCCGGCTATCTTGCAGCTCTTCAACCAGTTTGTGGACGCGATGTTCGAACAGTTGGCTAAACCATACCGCACCGTCAACAACCATCGTATTTGGATCAAAGCCAGCCAAGCCACCGTCAGGAATATTGCCAGGGCCTTTGCACAATCCGACTTACTGGACATCGAACTTGCAAAGCAAACACAAGCCTTCTATATTGAACCAGAGAACTTGCTGACCATCACGGTTCCCACAGGATTGAAGAAGAAACCAATCTACCGTGGCGAACACATGGGCACCTACCTGATCTACCACAAGACAAGTTGGGAATCAGTTGCCAAAATTCTTGCTGAAGACTGCATCCGCCCGGCAACTTGGACAAAAAACGAAGCCGGTATACCGACCCAATACCCGTGTTACGGGTTCTTCGGAATGTCCTCTGAGATCGCAGACACCGACAACCTACCCGGCTATGCTGTCAGGATTTGTACCTCTCAGCTTTACAAAATAGGCAAAGGACAAAACCCATCAGGCCTGCTGGCCATATGCCGCTCACCCAAATGCATCCGTGCCCTAGCTGGAGGAAATGACCAAATCCAACGCTTGTGCAACCTTGCGGGCATCGCCAAGGGCAAAGACAATGCAACGGCTATGAACTCAAGCGCTGCATCTATATGCTACGTCGCCTCCACTCACCAGGTTTTCCCGGGCTTGATCACACACCAGACTGCGGAGACCAATGCACCTTCGGAACCTCCTGATGATTCTGCACGTCCAGTACGACCTGACCCTTCTGCCGACGCCCCAGAACCTTCGGAGCCGGCCCCGGACGACTCTCACAATACACCGAGCCGCCGCGAGACTGCTACCTCTGGCTCCCGGGACTATGCTCGCCGATCTTGGCATGACAATGCTGCTTGGGACAATTCCACCTACAGCCGCCGAGATCGCCGATCCTCATATTATGACGACCATTCTCGCGACCAGCACCATGAAGGCCGACCTCGTTCTCGACATTCGACCCACCACTCCAAATCTCGTTGGTGAATTCTTTACCCTTGAGGAGTACCAGAACAAGTATCGACTATTCTACGTCGGCGATCCAGTGAGCCTAGTGGCCCTGCCCGATTATTTTGGAGTAACAATGCT